TATCCTTCGCGGCAGCTCCCGAGGCTGGGGTGGGCCTGGGGTGGGCCTCGAGGACGTTTTGCCCCGCTTACAACACACACACACAGCTCATAGGCTGAATGAAAACTGAAAAAAAAAACTTAAGCGGTGCCGTAGCACTGTCCACCATCCTGTCCGATAAAAAGATCAAAGCGTCTCGGCTCCCGAGACGCTCTCCGGTGTCTGGCTGAACTCTGGTGGCTCTCTGCACTGTGCCACAAGGCACGAGCCGCGCCGCTCAGATGACGCCGTACTGCTTCTTGAGCTTGAGCAGCAGCGCCCAGTCGTCCTTGGAGAGGTCCTCCTTGAAGAACTCCTGTTCACAACAGTGAGTGTGAAGAGACGCCGTTCACACCAGCTCTTCCGCCCTCCTTGAAGAGCTCCTTGATCGCGTCGATCGAGCGGCGCGTCACGCGCGCGTACAGCGGGTAGGTGTGGTCGAACTGCCGGCCGTACTGGATCGACGTGACGGCGTCGATCTTGACCGCGGCAGACTTGCCCGCCTTGAGGACGTCCACCTGCTTCCCCTTCTCGGGCTCCATCGAGACGACGCGCCCGATGTCGAGGTAGGCCTACCCGCCCAAAAACGAGGAGTGCGCTGGCGCAGGCGTAGGGGGCCGTTCGTGTTCTCTGGTGGCCCGGTGTCTTGCAGGCCTGCAGCCCCGTCTCGGGGTCCTTTTGCCCGCGCCGCTCGACGCAGAGCGGCGTGCCCTTCTTGAGGGTCCCCTCCTGCACCGCCAGCCCCAGCAAGATCGGGTCCCCTCCCCCGCCGCGGCACCAGACGTGGTCGGGCGACGAGACCTAGGAAGTGTCGAGGAAGTGTCGAGGAAGTGTCGAGGAAGTGTCGAGGAAGTGTCTAGGAAGTGTAGGTCGGGCGACGAGACCTTGCAGATGGCGGGGTAGACGGCGGTGGTCGCCGCCTTTGCCTGCTGCTCGAGCCGCACGTCCGCCATGTACTTTGTGAATGAACTGGTCGAACAGGTGGTAGATGATCTCGGCGGTGAAGACCTTGACCTGCGACTCCTTGGCCTGCAGCTCGCCCTCCTTTGTGAGGGCACGTCGAAGGCGAGGATGGTGGCGTACTCGGGCTTGAACTCGTGCATGATGGACGCCTTGATGACGTCCTTCTTGTGGATGGGCCCGATGACCGCGGAGACGGGGATCTGTGCGGGGGAGAGGTAGGGGGGGATGGGGAGATCCTTTTCCCCGAAGAAGCCCCGCCTTTCCCGAAGGGGCACCTTTCGGCGCCAGTCCCCCAGCGCGCTCGAATCCGATGTCTCGCCGGGGGAAAAAGAAGAAAATAGAGGGAGCCGATGGGAGGACGTCACGCACAGGGCACAGGGAGTAGTTTGTATGCGCCAACCCTGTATGCGCCAACCCTCGCTTTCTTGTGGCTGACGCGCAATAAGAGCGGGGGGGGGGGGTCGGCCCACTGCGGGCCTGTCCGTGCACGGCCCGCATGGAAACGGGAGTGGGCATCGGCGAGGCGCCGACGACGCATGCTATGGAACGAGTCTCTCCGGATTGGAGCTTGCAACCGCTCACGATGGAACTCGTGGCCGGAATGACAGCCGTTTACAACGAGGGCTTCGGCAGCAAGAGATGCTGTATCTGCTTTCCGTTCACGGACACCGATGGCACTAGGCTGCGCTACTACCAACGCCACCCAGAGCGTCTGCCGATGTGTGGGATCGCCGTGGGAGCGGATGGCACGCCGCTCGGCTTCGTGCAGGTGGCGGTTCATCCCATGCAGGACCAATATGGCATCCACACCCTGCAGCCTGGCGAGGCTTACATCGAGCAGGTCGGCGTCGCGGCCGCAGCGCGCGGCAAGGGCATCGGCAAGGCGCTGCTGCAGTGGGCGGAGACGCTGGCGACCGATCGCAAGTCGAGCGTCCTGACCCTGACGGTGCTCCACGGCAACCCGGCGCTGCGGCTCTACGAGCGCTTTGGCTTCGAGGCGCTGCCACCCCCTGACCCTGTAGAGCGATGCTTCGACATCTGCGGCACCTTCTGGATCGTCGGGCGGCCGTACGGCCTCTGCGATCCGCACTGGGGTTCCGTCGAGATGAGGAAAGCCGTGCCGGGCAGGTAGGCGCAAGAAAAAACTTTCTCGGGTCCGTTGGCCTCATTGTAGGGAAGAATTTTGAAACCCGTCAACGCCTGCTCCTGGGGGCAGCTTCGTCCGAAGCCGTCTGCTCCCCGCAGTACGCAGTAGGCACACACTAGAGACAGATAGGAGGAGACTAAGGGGACGGTGGTGAGTTCAACGAGAGAGAGGAGAAGGCATTGGCGACGCGCACATGGCGGCGACTGAGCGGAGTCCCTCCTCTGCGTCGCAGGTCGCGGCTGCAAAGGCGCTCTTGGTACAAGCTTCCGGATTGACCGCCACGCGATTCCCACTGATCCAGGAACAGATATCCATGACGTCTGCACACATCTGGGGCCCATGAAGGGATCGATCGGGTAGAATGTCGAGTCGTCCGCGAACCACGTCTGCCGTATCCCCTCCTTGCCTGCTGCGCCCCTGGTGAGGTCTGAGGAGCCGTTATGATCCTCCCTTGCGCGTCGCCCTGTAGTGCCTGCATGGCCTCCGTCACTTCACTCAGGAAAGACGCCTATTCTCTTCTCGAGCTCCAGGCGGAGCGCTACACAATATAGTAAAGTAACCCCAACCACAACCCCCCGATCACGGCATCTGAGACACACACCATACGTCTATCCCCGGCACACGCCATTCTCCGTGGCCATCACCAGTGGCCGTGTCGTCCCCTCCCGCTCCGCGCCGCACACCGAGGCACCGCCTCCTCCGTCCGCCCTGTCCGCCGCAGCCGCCGCGGCAGCGATGCGCTGCGCGTCGGGCAGGCCGTGGCTCACCACGTAGGTGCACAGGAGGAGCAGCGCGGCGAACTCCGCCGCGATCGAGCGCACGTTGCGGAAGAGCGTGCAGCGCGCCTGCGGTGAGGTGCGGTGCGGTACACTTCTCCATCCCTCGCACCTCCGTCCCCCACGTCTCCACGGCCCAAGACAGGAGCCACACGGCACGTAGGGTGCGTGCGTGCGTGCGTGCGTGCGTGCGTGCGTGCGTGCGTGCGTGCGTGCGTGCGTGCGTGCGTGCGTGCGTGCGTACGCGTCCGAGAGCGAGAGCGAGAGCGAGAGCGAGAGCGAGAGCGAGAGCGAGAGCGAGAGCGAGAGAGCGAGAGCGAGAGCGAGAGAGCGAGAGAGCGAGAGCGAGAGCGAGAGCGAGAGCGAGAGCGAGAGCGAGAGCGAGAGCGAGAGCGAGAGCGAGAGCGAGAGCGAGAGCGAGAGCGAGAGCGAGAGCGAGAGCGAGAGCGAGAGCGAGAGCGAGAGCGAGAGAGAGAGAGAGAGAGAGAGAGAGAGAGAGAGAGAGAGAGAGAGAGAGAGAGAGAGCCTTACGGCACTCGCCGGCGTGCTTCGCCACGTACCCCGGCGGCATCAGCAGCAGGTCATCGGCCGAGAGGGAGGAGTTGGAGAAGGCGCAGGTGTAGTGGCGAGGGCGGGAGACGTGGCGGCACGCGTGCGGAGGGAGGGAGGGCCTATAGGGTGGCACGCAGGACGACCGGTCCAGAAGCAGTCTCCCTGCAGAGGCGTCTGACTCAGTGGAGAGGGGGGGCCATGCGTCGCACTCTGCCGGGCGGGTGAGCGGAGCGCAATAGTCAGACACGTCGGCGGTGCCTCGGAGGAGCAAGAAGGCGGCCGAGGCGACGGCTGCGGCGGTGAGGTGGAGGGTGCGCCCTCGCGTCTCCAGCGGAGACGGCAGGAGGGCGCGTCCACCGCTGCCGGTCGGCCGTCGCGCCTCTGCCCACAGCGCGACGGCGGGCGCAGCGACGGAGAGGAGGCAGGCAGCGCCGAGCCCGAGCTGGTGCAGTGTGTATGCGGCGGTGAAGGCGGCGGCGTAGTTGCCGTCGCCTGCGGGAACGGCGGGCGGGCGAGCGTTGGGGGGCGGGGGAGGGGAAGCGCAGGGCGCCACTCGCCGCCGCCTCGCTCGAGGTGTTCAGGGAAGACGGCGGTCAGGAGGGTGCCGAGGCTTCCCGCGGCCATCGCCAGCCGGAGACGGCGGCCGCGCATCGTGGAGCCTGTTCGCAGCGGTCGGCGTGAAGAGCGCCCGCTACGGCGGGGAACGTCGCGCGCGTCGCGATCGCCGTCGATGCGCGCCACCTCACAGAGCAGCGAGTACGCGAGGAGCAGGAGCGTCGAAAACATGAAGACGTAGCCCTGCGAGTAGTAGGAGCCGCACACGCACGAGATGGAGCCGCAGCCGCCGAGACCCGTTGCGCACGGCGCGGGGGCGGCGAGCAGCATCAGCACGGTCGGCACGACTGCCAAGATGACAGTGAGGAGCGGCACGAGCGCGCCCGACGCGAGGCAGCGGCCGGCCAGCGCGCGACGCGGCCCGCGGCCGCCGTGACCGTCGTCGTCCGCGGCGGTGTTCTCCGCGCCGCCGTTGCACCGCCCGAACCGGTGGAGCATCAGGCGGAGGAGCCGCCTCAGCCGGTCTTCAAAGCAGGGAGAGCCGCAAGCGACGGCAATCGGCAAGAGAAGCATCAGCAGCACGAGGATCACCCCGCCCGCGTCGAGCGCCTCCTCGCAGGCAGACGGGTCCTCGAGGCACAGGCTGGCTCGAGCGCAGGTTTCTCTGGCCATTGCGAAGGCGCACTGAGGAAACTGAGCAAGCTGGCCCCGGCGTGCGAAAAAGAATTTTAAAGCCCCGCATACCTCGGAAATAACGACGCGACAGAGGAGGAAATGACAAGGGAGAGAACGACGAGAGTGGGACGACCGCGAGGTGGCATGAAGGTTGCAGCGAGAAGCGGCGAGAGACTGCGAAGAGAGATAGGAAGAGGCAGACTCCCTAGGGTGGGCGACGGCTAGCGCACCACACACCTCTCCTTAAAATCCCTGTGTGGTGGCGGCGTGCCGTCCTCCCATCCCTCCCTTGGGTTGTCTGTTTTCTTTCTTTCTTTCTTTCGGAGTTCTTTTGTTTAAATTCTTTCGGAAATAACGACGCGGATAGAGAGAGAGTTCTTTTGTTTAAATTCTTCTCTCGTTCCTCTGCCCGTGCCTTGGTCTTGTCGTTGTTTCGCACCCATGTCTGTATGGCAATCGAGGCTGCCTTCCCCACTACCTGTAGTTCACTCGTCACCTCTCCCGCGAGCTCCCCTCTCGTTCTTTCGGTTATGGTGTCCGTGAGTGCGGGCAGCGTGCAGGCAATCACGGGCGCTATTTTGTCGTACTCCCCTTCGGCGAGCGCTCCGAATCTAGACCCCATTGCCTTTAAGGAGGCTGCCCTCGCGCGTCTCAGGAATGTAGCGGTGTCTTTTGAGTCCGGCGCCGCCCGTTCGACTATTGCTGTCGCCCTCACCGTGTGTTTGTCTAGCTTCCGCATGAAGTGACGCGCCTCTTCCTTATTTCCAGCGCAGCTGCCGCTCAGTATGTGCGCCAACGACGCCTGTGGTGGCTCACTGTCTTCTTGTTTCCAGTCGTCCCAGTCTCTCAGTTCTCCGATTCTCCTCCTTGCCTCGCGCGCCTCTTTTGTGGCCTCATCCCTAGCCGCCTTGCACGCTCTGCATCCCCAGAACGCGCTTCTCGTGGCGGGGCCCCTCATTCCCCGCTTCTTTTCCCCTCTAGAATACGCCTGTGGTGTGCCCCATGTGGCACCCCGACCTGTTGTCTCACCCTGGCCCCCAAGATCGTTTTGGTCGTCACATTGTGATCCCCGACGTCGTCAAATGTCGCCCGCCTGTCCTTCCCCCCGTTCTCGTCGGGCAATCTCATCTTATTGTCCCATCGATGTTTCAGGCTGGCTACAGCCACTTCGCTCCACAGCGGTCCCGCCACCCCTGCCGTGTGCGATCCCGGCCTCACCGTCTTTCGAAGTTGTTCGCACACCCACTCGTGTGCGCTCTGGCGCATGTGCCCGTATGTCCGTCGGTCCGATATCTCCCTCTTCTCCGGGTCTTCTGCCATCTCCTTTCTCACTGTGTACATGCACGGCCGAGTTCGCACCGCGTCCCGCACCACTTTCGAGGCGTCCTCATAGAGTGGATAAAGCGCCTGTTCACGGCATGGAGGGTAAGCCACGCCGAACGCAAGGAAGCCGGGGAAGACGACCCCGAGGAGGACGAAACAAAAGTGGAAATCCCGCCGTCAGCTGTCACAATATACCCGAAGGGAACCCCAGTGCCAACACCGACAGTTGAGGTACAAGTGCTCGAAACGAGAGTGGACCTGAGCAACGACATGACAGGGCGAGATATGCTCGCAGTGGGAGTCAGAAATGTGGTCCTTGCGCGAGGAGAGCTCGATAAACTCGAGGGGCCAAAATATGCCGAGAGGAGCGCGGAGTTACGCAGAAAGGCGAGAGAAGCAGCGAGAGCAAGAGATCGGCAGACGACAGCGGCGTCTCAGAACGAGGCCGAGGAGAGCGATGAGTCAGGGGAAGAGACAGCAGGAGAGAGAACGACGAGAGTGGGAAGGAGGTGGCATGAAGGTCGCTGCGAGAATTGGTGAGAAACTGCGGAGAGAGATAGGAAGTGGTAGACGCCCGAGGGTGGGCGACGGCTAACACCACACTTCTCCCCTAAAATCCCTGTGTGGTGGCGGCGTACCGTCCTCCCATCCCTCCCTTTTTCTTTCTTTCTTTTGGGACTGCGAAAAAGAATTTTGGCGCCCGGTGTCGTGCGAAAAAGATTGCTAATGATCGGAATGGGCGTCAGAAGAGCCGTCCTTGCGCGAGGAGAGCTCGATAAACTCGAGGGGCCAAAATATGCCGCGAGGAGGGCGGAGTTGCGCCGAGAAGAAGCCGCGAGAGCCAGGGATCGGCGGACAGCGGCGGCACAGGCCACAGCAGAACGAGGCAGAGGAGAGTGACGCGACAGAGAGGATGAAGCGACAGGAGGGAGAACGACGAGAGTGGTACGACCGCGAGGTGGCATGAAGGTTGCAGCGAAGAATCGGCGAGGGACTGAGAAGAGAGATAGGAAGAGGCAGACTCCCAAGGGTGGGCGACGGCTAGCACCACCACACTCCTCTCCTTAAAATCCCTGTGTGGTTGCGGCGTGCCGTCCTCCCGTCCCTCCTTTGTGTTGTTGTTTCCTTTCTTTCTTTTCTGTCGTATACGAAAAACAATTGCGCCGCAAAACACACGTACGAACGGGCGTGGACTGGCGCACTCCAGCACACAAAAACACTGGCACCATCTCTAGCGCGCGCACTGCATTTGGCACTAACACAGGTTCCTACACCACGGGTGCCGCCGAAGCGACTCCTGGCTGCGAGGACGGCGAGGCACTTAGCTCCGTGCACCCGACCGCCCTCGCCGCAGGCAAGCAGGAGTCGTGAGAGAGGGGATTTAGGTTAGGTAGAAAGGTGAATAATAGTCTGGCTCGGACTGGACATGGCGACGGAGCGACGGCTCTCCCTCCCTCGCGCCTCGCGCCTCGCGGGTGCCACCAGTGCCACACAGGCAGCTGGCAGGGGACAGCGACAGCGGAAAGGCGCCGTCCATGTGGCTCCATCCTGGGCGCTGGGGAGGTACGTGCAAGCCCCACCCGACTGACGGGCAGGCGTGGGGCGCGTCGCCCGCTTGCTCTAGATGAAACGTCTAAAGGACGAAAGAGGGAATCCGGCCCGACGGCGGGCGGAGAAGACGGGCACTGGACCAGAAAGGACTGGGAGAGTGTGAATGGAGGGAGGGACACGGTGGACCGGGACACGCGGTGGTTCGGACATCCCCCCCCTCGACGTAGTCGAGTAACTCCCGATCGACGAGAGGAAAGTGTCCCTCAGAGTAGAGAGACTGTGGCTGCTCTACTAAGCCACGAATGAAGTAGCGGACAGCGTTGCAGGGGCCGTCGGCGATGCTGTCGATGCAGGCGACGGTGCAGAAGCTGGCAGCGCTGATGCCACCGATGTAGGTGACGACGAGAGAGCCGACGACGCTGTAGAGGCTACAGGCGAGGTCGTCGACACGAGCTTCGGCAGAGAGGCCGAGGCCGCTGGTGCTATCGGCGCCACCGTTGAGTGGAGCGGCGGCAGAGAGGCCGATGGCGTCATCGGCGCCGTAGTGGAGTCGAGCGGCGGCAGCAACGGAGTCGTCAGCGCAATGGCCGCCGAAAGGAGCGACGGCGAGAGGGACGGCACTGCCTTCGGCGAGACGGCCGACAGCTGAGTCGGCGAAGCAGTCGACGGCGAGGCCATCGGCGAGGCCGTCGCTGAGCCGAGCGACGGCGAGAGGGCCATCGGCGAGGCCGTCGCTGGAGCCGTCGGCAAGTCGAGCGACGGCGAGAGAGCCGACAGCGGAGTCGGCGAAGCAGCCGACAGCGGAGTCGGCGAAGCAGCCGACGGAGAGGCCATCGGCGAGGCCGTCGCTGAGCTGAGCGACGGCGAGAGAGCCGTCGGCAAGTCGAGCGACGGCGAGAGAGCCGACAGCGGAGTCGGCGAAGCAGCCGACAGCGGAGTCGTCGAAGCAGCCGACGGAGAGGCCATCGGCGAGGCCGTCGCTGAGCTGAGCGACGGCGAGAGAGCCGTCGGCAAGTCGAGCGACGGCGAGAGAGCCGACAGCGGAGTCGGCGAAGCAGCCGACAGCGGAGTCGGCGAAGCAGCCGACGGAGAGGCCATCGGCGAGGCCGTCGCTGAGCTGAGCGACGGCGAGAGAGCCGTCGGCAAGTCGAGCGACGGCGAGAGAGCCGACAGCGGAGTCGGCGAAGCAGCCGACAGCGGAGTCGGCGAAGCAGCCGACGGAGAGGCCATCGGCGAGGCCGTCGCTGAGCTGAGCGACGGCGAGAGAGCCGTCGGCAAGTCGAGCGACGGCGAGAGAGCCGACAGCGGAGTCGGCGAAGCAGCCGACAGCGGAGTCGGCGAAGCAGCCGACGGAGAGGCCATCGGCGAGGCCGTCGCTGAGCTGAGCGACGGCGAGAGAGCCGTCGGCAAGTCGAGCGACGGCGAGAGAGCCGACAGCGGAGTCGGCGAAGCAGCCGACAGCGGAGTCGGCGAAGCAGCCGACGGAGAGGCCATCGGCGAGGCCGTCGCTGAGCTGAGCGACGGCGAGAGAGCCGACAGCGGAGTCGGCGAAGCAGCCGACAGCGGAGTCGGCGAAGCAGCCGACGGAGAGGCCATCGGCGAGGCCGTCGCTGAGCTGAGCGACGGCGAGAGAGCCGTCGGCAAGTCGAGCGACGGCGAGAGAGCCGACAGTGGAGTCGGCGAAGCAGCCGACAGCGGAGTCGGCGAAGCAGCCGACGGAGAGGCCATCGGCGAGGCCGTCGCTGAGCTGAGCGACGGCGAGAGAGCCGTCGGCAAGTCGAGCGACGGCGAGAGAGCCGACAGCGGAGTCGGCGAAGCAGCCGACAGCGGAGTCGGCGAAGCAGCCGACGGAGAGGCCATCGGCGAGGCCGTCGCTGAGCTGAGCGACGGTGAGAGAGCCGTCGGCAAGTCGAGCGACGGCGAGAGAGCCGACAGCGGAGTCGGCGAAGCAGCCGACAGCGGAGTCGGCGAAGCAGCCGACGGAGAGGCCATCGGCGAGGCCGTCGCTGAGCTGAGCGACGGCGAGAGAGCCGTCGGCAAGTCGAGCGACGGCGAGAGAGCCGACAGCGGAGTCGGCGAAGCAGCCGACAGCGGAGTCGGCGAAGCAGCCGACGGAGAGGCCATCGGCGGGGCCGTCGCTGAGCTGAGCGACGGCGAGAGAGCCGTCGGCAAGTCGAGCGACGGCGAGAGAGCCGACAGCGGAGTCGGCGAAGCAGCCGACAGCGGAGTCGGCGAAGCAGCCGACGGAGAGGCCATCGGCGAGGCCGTCGCTGAGCTGAGCGACGGCGAGAGAGCCGTCGGCAAGTCGAGCGACGGCGAGAGAGCCGACAGCGGAGTCGGCGAAGCAGCCGACAGCGGAGTCGGCGAAGCAGCCGACGGAGAGGCCATCGGCGAGGCCGTCGCTGAGCTGAGCGACGGCGAGAGAGCCGTCGGCAAGTCGAGCGACGGCGAGAGAGCCGACAGCGGAGTCGGCGAAGCAGCCGACAGCGGAGTCGGCGAAGCAGCCGACGGAGAGGCCATCGGCGAGGCCGTCGCTGAGCTGAGCGACGGCGAGAGAGCCGTCGGCAAGTCGAGCGACGGCGAGAGAGCCGACAGCGGAGTCGGCGAAGTAGCCGACAGCGGAGTCGGCAAAGCAGCCGACGGAGAGGCCATCGGCGAGGCCGTCGCTGAGCTGAGCGACGGCGAGAGAGCCGTCGGCAAGTCGAGCGACGGCGAGAGAGCCGACAGCGGAGTCGGCGAAGCAGCCGACAGCGGAGTCGGCGAAGCAGCCGACGGAGAGGCCATCGGCGAGGCCGTCGCTGAGCTGAGCGACGGCGAGAGAGCCGTCGGCAAGTCGAGCGACGGCGAGAGAGCCGACAGCGGAGTCGGCGAAGCAGCCGACAGCGGAGTCGGCGAAGCAGCCGACGGCGAGGCCATCGGCGAGGCCGTCGCTGAGCTGAGCGACGGCGAGAGAGCCGTCGGCAAGTCGAGCGACGGCGAGAGAGCCGACAGCGGAGTCGGCGAAGCAGCCGACAGCGGAGTCGGCGAAGCAGCCGACGGAGAGGCCATCGGCGAGGCCGTCGCTGAGCTGAGCGACGGCGAGAGAGCCGTCGGCAAGTCGAGCGACGGCGAGAGAGCCGACAGCGGAGTCGGCGAAGCAGCCGACAGCGGAGTCGGCGAAGCAGCCGACGGAGAGGCCATCGGCGAGGCCGTCGCTGAGCTGAGCGACGGCGAGAGAGCCGTCGGCAAGTCGAGCGACGGCGAGAGAGCCGACAGCGGAGTCGGCGAAGCAGCCGACAGCGGAGTCGGCGAAGCAGCCGACGGAGAGGCCATCGGCGAGGCCGTCGCTGAGCTGAGCGACGGCGAGAGAGCCGTCGGCAAGTCGAGCGACGGCGAGAGAGCCGACAGCGGAGTCGGCGAAGCAGCCGACAGCGGAGTCGGCGAAGCAGCCGACGGAGAGGCCATCGGCGAGGCCGTCGCTGAGCTGAGCGACGGCGAGAGAGCCGTCGGCAAGTCGAGCGACGGCGAGAGAGCCGACAGTGGAGTCGGCGAAGCAGCCGACAGCGGAGTCGGCGAAGCAGCCGACGGAGAGGCCATCGGCGAGGCCGTCGCTGAGCTGAGCGACGGCGAGAGAGCCGTCGGCAAGTCGAGCGACGGCGAGAGAGCCGACAGCGGAGTCGGCGAAGCAGCCGACAGCGGAGTCGGCGAAGCAGCCGACGGAGAGGCCATCGGCGAGGCCGTCGCTGAGCTGAGCGACGGCGAGAGAGCCGTCGGCAAGTCGAGCGACGGCGAGAGAGCCGACAGCGGAGTCGGCGAAGCAGCCGACAGCGGAGTCGGCGAAGCAGCCGACGGAGAGGCCATCGGCGAGGCCGTCGCTGAGCTGAGCGACGGCGAGAGAGCCGTCGGCAAGTCGAGCGACGGCGAGAGAGCCGACAGCGGAGTCGGCGAAGCAGCCGACAGCGGAGTCGGCGAAGCAGCCGACAGAGAGGCCATCGGCGAGGCCGTCGCTGAGCTGAGCGACGGCGAGAGAGCCGTCGGCAAGTCGAGCGACGGCGAGAGAGCCGACAGCGGTGTCGGCGAAGCAGCCGACAGCGGAGTCGGCGAAGCAGCCGACGGAGAGGCCATCGGCGAGGCCGTCGCTGAGCTGAGCGACGGCGAGAGAGCCGTCGGCAAGTCGAGCGACGGCGAGAGAGCCGACAGCGGAGTCGGCGAAGCAGCCGACAGCGGAGTCGGCGAAGCAGCCGACGGAGAGGCCATCGGCGAGGCCGTCGCTGAGCTGAGCGACGGCGAGAGAGCCGTCGGCAAGTCGAGCGACGGCGAGAGAGCCGACAGCGGAGTCGGCGAAGCAGCCGACAGCGGAGTCGGCGAAGCAGCCGACGGAGAGGCCATCGGCGAGGCCGTCGCTGAGCTGAGCGACGGCGAGAGAGCCGTCGGCAAGTCGAGCGACGGCGAGAGAGCCGACAGCGGAGTCGGCGAAGCAGCCGACGGCGGTGTCGGCGCAGTGGCCGACGGCGGTGTCGGCGAAGCGGCCGACAGCGGTGCCGGCGAAGCAGCTGACGGCGGTGTCGGCAAAGCGCCCGACGGCGGTGTCGGCGCAGTGGCCGACAGCGGTGTCGGCGAAGCGTCCGACGGCGGTGTCGGCGCAGTGGCCGACAGCGGTGTCGGCGAAGCGTCCGACGGCGGTGTCGGCGCAGTGGCCGACAGCGGTGTCGGCGAAGCGTCCGCCGGCGGTGTCGGCGAGGAGCCGTCGGCGAAAGAGCCAACAGCGCCGGAGCCGCTGGCAAGGCCGTCGAGTAACTCGATGGTGAAGCAGCCGTTGACACGAACGACAGCGAAGCAGCCATCGAGTCGAGCGACGGCGAGACAGTCGACAGCGGAGCCATCGGCGAAGTGGCCGACAGCGCTGGAGCCGCCGGCGAGGCTGTCGAGTCGAGCGACGGCAAAGCGGCCGTCGACACGAGCGACGGCGAAGCAGCCGAAGGTCCCGGCAAGGCCGACAGCGCTGGAGCTGCCGTGAAGGCCCCCACCAGGCGCGTCGATGACTGTGACTGGTGTACAGTAACTGGTGACGGGAGGCGGGGGGCCGAGTAGGACGCCTCCGACGGTGAAGACGTAGCCAACATGCGAGGAGGCGTTGACTGACGCTGCAGTCGCAGTGAGAGCATGGGCGCTGCCCCAGACGGTGGAGGCGGCGCCGGTGGAGATGCAGGTGCGGAGGCAAATGATGCTGGCGGGGAGCGAGATGCTGCAAGTAGGGCCGCAAAGAAAGACGGCGAGGCAAGGTGACTCGGCGCAGTAGGCGAAGCCAATGAGCTCCCGGCTGTCGATGGAGGTGACGGCGATGAAGACGCCGTCAAGCTCACCAGCGATGCCAGCTGGTGCACAAATGTGGCTGGTAGCGGGAAGCGCAAGCGGAGTGCCATGATGGTCACCCCAGGGGGCGCTCCCAGGGCCAGGAAGTGGGCAGCCGGCGGCAGGCCCCCTGGCGGCAACATCACCGGTGGTAACGCCGCAGGCGGACGTCGTAGACCACAGCCAGTCTTGATGCGAATAGCGCTGGACGGTAAGCGGTGAAGTGCCAGAGTGCGAGTAGGACTCGGAACGGAATATGGGCGTGTCAGGCATGATCTGACGTGGGATAGCGTGTTGGGCCACAAAGGGCTGGCGCGACCAGTCGAGTCGCTGCCACGTGCAAGCCCCACCCGACTGACGGGCAGGCGTGGGGCGCGTCGCCCGCTTGCTCTAGATGAAACGTCTAAAGGACGAAAGAGGGAATCCGGCCCGACGGCGGGCGGAGAAGACGGGCACTGGACCAGAAAGGACTGGGAGAGTGTGAATGGAGGGAGGGACACGGTGGACCGGGACACGCGGTGGTTCGGACAAGGTATAGTACAAATCCCAAATGGTAAAGATAGACTCTAGCCTTTCCGCACACAGTGCCAGTAGTGTGTGTGTGTGTGTGTGTGTGTGTGTGTGTGTGTGTGTGTGTGTGTGTGTGTGTGTGTGTGTGTGCGAGCGGGAGTGTTGTAAAATTCTTTGGCAGCAAGCAGGGCACGAGCCGGGCTGCCACCACCTTCCTCTCTCTCTCCGGCACTGCCGGAAGCGTGTGACACAGACACGTATGCTCCGCCGGCTCGCAGCACGCTCCGCTCCGCTGGCGCGCGCCTCAGCAGTGAGGGCAGCGCGGCCTCCGCACGCCCTCCGGCTCGCGGCGGCGCCGCTCAGCCGCTCCTTTGTGAGCACGGCGGCCGCGGCGGCGCCGAGCAGCGCCCAGCCCTTCATGCTGGCCGACATTGGGGAGGGCATCGCCGAGGTGGAGGTGCTGCAGTGGTTCGTCAAGCCGGGCGACACGGTCGATCAGTTCGACCGGATTTGCGAGGTCCAGAGCGACAAGGCCACGGTCGAGATCTCGTCTCCCTACGTCGGCACGATCGAGTCGCTCGAGTACGAGGTGGGCAGCATCGCCAAGGTTGGCACGCCGCTGCTGCACATCTCGGTGGACGGCGCAGGGGGCGACGCGGGGGCGGAGCCGGAGCAGCCGGCTCCGCCGGTGGCGGCAGCGGCGGCGGCGCCTCTGCCGGTGAGTGAGCCGGCGCCAGCGGCGGGGGCGACGGCGGCCGCGGCGAGCCCCGCGGGGGATCGCAAGGTGCTGTCGACTCCGGCGACGCGCGCGCTGGCGAAGCGGCACAAGCTCGACCTGGGCACCGTCACTCCGACCGGGAGGGGAGGGCGCGTCACCAAACAGGACGTGCTGCTGGTGCTCAATGGAAGCGCGCCGGTGCAGCCGGCAGGCGCGGCCGCGGCGGCGCCGCAGCCGCAGCCGGCGGCCCCGTCCGCGGCGGCCGAGGACCGCGCGGTGCCGATCCGCGGGATCCGGAAGGCGATGTTTGCGCAGATGACCGCGGTGCGCGCCGAGATGCAGCCCAGATGCAGCCGAGATGGAGCCGAGGCCTGAATCCCGCTGCAACACGCCAACGCCTCCCCCCTCCGCCTCCCCCCTCCGCCTCCTTCCTCCCTCCGCCTCCTTCCTCCTCCTCCTCCTCCTCCTCCTCCGCCTCTTTCCTCCCTCCGCCTCCTTCCTCCTCCTCCTCCTCCTCCTCCTCCTCCTCCTCCACCTCCTCCTCCTCCTCCCCCTCCACCACCTCCACCACCACCTCCTCCTCCTCCTCCTCCTCCTCCTCCTCCACCACCTCCCCCTCCCCCTCCCCCTCCACCTCCTCCAACGCGACCGCCGCGACCTCCGCGCCGCCCCCCTCCTCCTCCCCCCTCCCTCCCTCTCCCGATGAGGAAGCTTCAAGACTCGTTGTCAGACCGCCCCTGACGAGACCAGCTGGTACAGTTTTCTGAGGGATCGCACTCTCTTTGTAAGCCCGGGTACT